ATAGGCCAAATAGCAGGTGCATTTTGGTGAGAATTATATTTTATTATAATGCACTGATTATAGTAGAAGGTTGGCATATTAAATGCAATTTTTTTTTCAGAGCAGTTAATGTAATTCTGTTAGAAGTTGTTTTCCCTGCCATTATTGTTATTTTTATTGTGAATTTTGTAACTGTTGACTGACAACCATTAAAATTAGCAGTTAACATGTAAACAAAATTTATGTATATCAATTATTGTTGGATGACAAAGAGTAAAAATAGAATTTTTTTTTTTTAAAATAATATAGCTGTACCTCAGACCTAATTTCCACATTTTTTTTAAAACATCATTCGAAAAGCTTTGAAAGGTTTTTATTATATTATCAAATTATGGAATCCCACAACAAGTTATGTAATCCCACTACATTTTAAAATTTACGTATGAATCATTTGATCTAGAAAATTGGACAAATTTGTTTACTGTGTGTTATCCAAGAAGGGTAAAATAATCAATTGTTTTATATCATGATTTTAAAAATGTGTGTCTTAGTGTTAGTAGAGAAAGCAAAGAGTTTAGCTTCAGACATAACAGGAAAAGTTAGAAATTTTGTTTACCTATAATTAATGTCTGGTATTAGTTTTAATTAAGTTTCTGGAGAAAATGAAAAATGACTTTCAATCAATTACAATTTTATTTTCTTCTTAATTTTAAATGTGACCTCTAACTGCTTTCTTACATAAATATCTCATATCTTAACAACAATTATTTACTATTTTCCAATTTGTCAATGTATTTGTAATTATTTTAAAACTATTTTCTATGCTTCTGATAACAGGGGACTAACTAGAAGGTTAGAACACCAATAATGGAAGCAACTTTCAATATAGGTGAAGTAACTTAACATAAAGAACAAAAAACTAAATCAAAGAGTAATTTTTGTTTCTTCATCTGTAGTGACGTTCTTTGAGTGAGTATGTCAATACCCTATTCACTTCCAAGTGATCCAAACACTTGCTCAATCAATTTAGTTAAGAATCACACGATGTTTTTAAGAGTTTAATGACCATGACTTTGCCATGCTATTTTTTAAAATATTTTAGTTGATGTGCAATGTTTTTGTTGTGCATTTTTAATGTAATTTTGTAAAAAAAAATATAATTTCAAACAAATGCCCAGGTTGACTTAAAATTTTTTTAGCACATTCTTGCCCATTCTCAGAAATAAAATACACTAGCCAGCAAGGACTGTACCCTCATGGCTACTAAGCAGATGTTTTGGGATATCGAATCACTCATTTTTTTTTTTTAAATGTAACCAAATCAACTTAGGTCTTAGAGCTACTATATTTTTACAGATTAATTTTGCAATGACCCCCCAAAGTGTTACTGTTCCAAGTTGATATAGTTATGCTGGATATCAAAATCTTTATTGTGATAATTCTATTGCTGTTGTGCATCATCATATAAGACTAAACAAATATATGTATATTTTGCTGATTATAATTTTTTTGTTTAGTTTTCTTGGATAAAGTTTGACTTTTGTATTTATTGGCTGGACGGGTGGCATCTGTAGGAAAGGAATAGAAGAAAACACTGGAGAATATTTTCAATGGTGCGGCTCAGCATGAATGATTAATAATAACTAATGGGGTAAAAGTATAAATCATATCTTTAAAAGAAATTAATTCAAGATTCTTAGCTTGAGTAGCAGTTAAGATACACTTTATACTGTTGTTGTTTGTCAAAATTTATTTGTGTTATTTTTGCAAGCCAAAAGCTAGCAAATCTTTCAGCTTTTTTCTGATAGAATTAATTAGATACTATCAATTCATATCAGTCATCTCACTTGATTATATGATACATGAAGAAATTAGCTCTGTTACATAATTATTATTATTTTTTGTCACTATAAAATAAACAATTAAGCTCATTTTCAACAGATTTTAATCCTTACATTTAGACTGCTTCTGCTGTTTTAGATATGAAATGAGAGAATTTGTGACTATCCATTTTCATAAGTATAAATATTTCTAACACTAAATGCTTTCAGCTAACCCAAATAGATCATGTTGATGGTAATTCTGGGGCAAATTTATCACAAATTGTAAACCATTAATGAGAAAATAACTATTACATTTAAAACATTATAATCAAGATTATAACTCATTAAATAAGAAAATAAGAACTGCCAGAAGTGTTTTGTATTCACAGTTTACCTACATTTAAGAGGATAAAATTGATAAGTGAAAGCAGTAAACACCTACAAATACTTTTGGATCATATATTTTTGGAAAAGAATGATCAAGTAGTGACGACTTTTGCATGGTTATTATATGTGGGATGATTGTTGAAGATTTTGATGTTTATAATTAATTCCCAGTCGTGCAATATTTGAATATATCAATATTTCCTGGATTTAAATTTTGTACAAAAATATTAGTTTGATCTGAAGACAAGCCATGTTTGATTAAAGTTAATTCATTGCATGTTTAAGAGATTTTTCATATGATCAATGGAACTAAATTCCTAATTCAATTATTTTATAACTTTTAAGGGCTATCTCATTTTTAAGGGCTATCTCATTAGTCCAGAAATAGAATGAAAAATATCAATTTTATAGTATTATGAGTGAAAGATTTAAAATGAGTTGCAAAAAATGATGTTCATATCTGATGTTTACCCTGTAACATGTCAAAGCTTCTGTATGCTTCTTACTTAATCATATAAAGAGCATTTAACATAGGAGTATATTGTGAGCAAATGAAAGGCTTGGTTGAGTGCAATAATGAGCAAATGCAAAGTATGGGTATCTCTGAAGATTCATGTACTGTAAAACTTTAACAATCCACTGACTGAGAAGACAAATATCAACACTTGCAAGCATGCATTGAGTTTTGTCATGTTGTTCTTGATTAAGGATAAACCAGCTGATTTGAGAGAAACATTTTTTGACTTTGTTACCTGCTACATTTTTTTTAACTGCCCCCTTGCAGGGCACATTAACTCTTTCAGCTTAGCCAAAAAATGCATTTGTTGGCAGATAACAGAGGATTGTTTGTTTCCATTAAAGACAATCACTTGACCAAAAATTCTGGATCTATATTTTTGTTAACAGAAACATTTAGATGAAAAACTGTTTAACACGCTTGATAAACTTAACATTAACTTTTGGTTCCTTTAAAAATTAAATAATTATAATTTTTTTTTTTTTAAAGTCTTTGTGTGATTAACTGTGTCTCTGTTATTTACCAACATTTGTTTTCTGTTATGGATGGGGCATATTTATTGCATTTTTCTCAACCATTTCTATAACCTGCCAACATTTTCATCATTTAAAAATGTATTATGTATCATCATATCAGTTTTGTCTATTAACAAAATTATTTACATGCCTCATAAACCCTATATTTGATCATCCCCACCCCCTCGAATCCTTTTTGTAAGTTATGTGTTTTCCCATTGAGAAATAGTATTTTTAAATATTTTATAGGCTCTTTGATTTTTTTCCATATATTTTGTAAGCATTAAATATACAGTTAATCACATGATGTATTTTGCTAGTCAGATAATGGTACTTGAATACACTGTTATTCTTTTACTTCTATACATATTTCTGTCCTGGTTATGTTAGTTTTAAATTCAAGTTATATAATAACATGTTAGATTTTCCTATCCTTGTTTGATGGTCAAATTATTAGCTGAACTATTGACATGTTTAAGATGAACCCTATATTGTACGAGCTAAGAGAAAAAGGCTTACCCATTTCTAAAAATACACATAACATTTGTTATGAATCCTGTAAGAAAAATGTGTTACTTTTGGCAAGCCATTTGTTTTGAAAATCTATTTTGGAGTAGTCTGTCAGAGCCTCTTCATGGTTGAATTACTTAAAGCTTACCAAAACAATTTGATCTCATCTCCATCTGTATTGTTTTTGTACTGTTTCTAACAGTACATAAAAATCATGCATTTTTAAAATTCTTGAATGCCAATAAAGCTGAATGAATTTTTGTCATTGTTATATTTTATTGTTTGTCTACTCTTGTGTTATTTTTGTTATGTCTTGTGTTCATCAGAAATAAATTTCAAACATTTTTTCTTTATTTTCTTTATTTTTCTATTTTTCTTAAAGGTTAACACATGAATTTTACATTATAATTTGATAACTGCATTACACAGAACTTTGTAAAAATGAGAAGACAAAAGTCACTGGAGACAAAAATCACTCACTATCAATAATTATCTTTTTGAAAGCATGGTGCTACAGTCCTTTTCAAATAATTCTGTTTATCCAAGTCCAAGACTGAATCCACCAATCCTTGTAATCCCTTAGTCATTTTTTGTGGTAACTATGCATGGATCTCAGATCCTGATTAAATATGCCTTTTTACTATTTTTTATACTTAATTTAAAAAAAAACAAAACTGTTGCCTCTTTGAACAATTAAGATAACTGCTTCCAGCTCTTTAAAACAAATTTAGTAAGCTTTATCCAATGTCACAAAAGTTTTATTTTAAAAGATCAACCATTTTTTTTTTTTAAATTTTAGTTTTGGAATGACATTATATATTGCAATTTGAGAAACACTGACTTAGAGCACCAAAAAAAAATGAGGTCCTTAAGTTTAAAGGCTGTTGTGATGAAATAAAATAATATTCAAATACTTATAGAGACAAATCTTGTGATCATAGAGCCGGACCAATTACTGTGAGGAAATTACTTCATGTTTCAATTTTCTTTCATGCATTTCCCCATGGCAATTCGAACAATATCACAATATTATACAACCACAATAAAATCAACAGGTATAATTTTTTGACAACAGCGAACTATTTGCCATTTGTTATATGCATGAAAAGCTCTCAATTTAATATTTCAAAATAAAAATAATAATGGATTTTCAAGATTCTAAATGATATTCTACCAAACTTTAAAAGAAATAATTATTTTTTTACCTTTGAGATACAGTAAAGAAAATAATAAAATAAATGACATTTTTTAAATGAATTTATCAAATATGGCTTATGGTTTAGGTGTTGAAATATTTTGAAACGAAATTTGAAAAAACTCAGTGGACAACAATTTTGCTGTCGTATTACTATCCCTGAAATCCAACTGTCATTAAATATATTTGATATGTTTTGCAGCAAAAACATGCAACAATTTCAATCTAAATTTATCTGATTATAATACATTATGTACATTGCACACAAAAATCTTTAAATGCTCTTTAATATATATATTTATAGTAAACATTTATGATTTAAAACAAATTAATGGAAATGACTCTCATTATGGGCTGCAGAGGGTTCAGAGTATCCCAGAGAAAAGTATTTGTGGCATATAGCAAGAACAAGGACTATACTATTAATTATCGTTTCATACAAGCTAAACATACCAATACCATAAGTTAGTCATTGAAAAAAAGATATTTGTTTGCTTAAAAGGCTCAGAAAGTTCAAATTTCTTAATTAAAATTTTAAGCAGCAGAAATTATTAAAATGTTTATACTTTTAGCTTTTCCCAGTCGTTAAATTTTACTAACACTCTATCCTAACTTAATATTTGTCCCAGTTTTAAATTCAATTTTTTTGTTTATTCTGAGCCATGGGACTCTCCAGATGTATACATTGGAAATTAACTAAAACTAATCACCACAACAATTTAAAAAAAAAAAAAGATTTGAAAAATTAAGCCTTTAAGCAACACAAACTACTAAATGTATTTTCTTTATATTTGACCATTACTAAAAAAAACGACACACATCCAATTATGAACTAAATTTAAAACGGGGGCAGTGTGTGTAAAAGTATTTATCTTCTGAAACTGCCTCATAGGTCTAAAAAACATATTAATTAAAAATAAATACAGGAAGTTAACAAAAAAGTTTAATTTATTATTTCCTTTGGGAATCTATGTTTCTTGACAAAAAGCAAGTTAACTGAGCAGGCAGAAGTATAGCTAAGCTAAGACAACGCTCGCTAAAGTTGGTTGATCGACATAATTAAGTGCCAATCGGGCAGTGATTTCATATTAAACAGGGGTTTGAGGAAACCCAAATTAGTGTAAATATCAATTTTACCATACACATGAGTAAAATATCAAACCATTGCTTTTATACTTTAGATTTAAAATAAACTTCATTTACGTTGTCGCCAATTCTTTTTATAGATGAAATCCAATTTAATTTCACATTTTGTGTACCCAAATAACAAGATGTTTCCCAACGTCTGAGCTATTCAAAAATATTGTTTGAAGACATGTTTCCATTGTATATCGGAAAACTTTAGGAACCTTAAGCCTAGTACTAGTAGTTAGGACAAGAAAAGGGGGCTACAGTATTTCTATTCTCAGATCGGAGCAGTGCAGCTGATTTTTTTTATTCCATGGGGGCAATTATCTCTTCAAGTTGAGGAAACACCAATAAATGCCCATGTCAAATCAAATTCTAATTGCACTATGAAAAACAGAGAATCCTATTAAATTATTTCATTTTGTAAAAATTGTATAAAATGAAGACCATTATTTTTTTAAGATTCTTTGAACAACAGTTATACACACACAAATTATATTAAGACACATAAATGGATTGGATGTTTAATGTGATTAAGGAACAAATATTGCAACTAAAGAAGTATATGGTGAAATATGTACAACATGAGACTCTTTAAAAAATTTCACTTTCAGATCAACATCAAAATTTTATTGAGTTCCCTCTCAGTGCCAAACTCATGAAACAGAAATTATTATTGTGGGCAAATCAATATTTATGCTGATTCATTATTTTTTCCTTGACGTCAATAATTCATGATAGTTTGCAGATTTTTTTTTTAAAAAGATAATATCACAATAAAAAAATATAAATATTTATAATGCTAACAGGGGTTTTGGGAGTGCGCACCTTTGTTTTAATCTCACTCATCATCACTCTCACCATCACTGGAAAATGTGCTTTTGATTGAAAGAGCCGGTGGCTGGGTTTGTAATCTCCTATAGTGATCTAGCCATTCGTCAACCATTTGTTTCACAGCCACAGGGCGCTTTCCAAGACGTTGAGTGGCAACCAGTAATCCCCCTTTTGTTTTTTGGCAATGCAGCCATTCTCTTAGCACAGTTTCTTCCCTACCAATCTGAATAAGAAAAGAAAAAAATCTATCAAATGGTAAATGTTGGCTTCAATTGTAAGATCCATTAGCAGTTGGTAAATAAAAGCAAAGAATAAAATAAACTTCAGATTTAAATATAAGAGAACCATTAACTTAGGCAGACAGTTGTTGTAGTGTTGCTGGTTACCAGACTGCCACTAAATGAAAAGTGATGTTAATAATTCAACCCCCCCCCCAAAAAAATGATTATCTCTTTTGTATATACCGGTATGCTAGTCCAAAATGCCTTAGGATTTCTTACAGAATACAACACGTAGCCCCAATAATTACATGGTCAGTATCAGATAGATGTTTCAAAATAACCTATTTATAAGTATCTACTGATCTCCCTACACTAACCATTTTGTTCTTCTAAATGAACATGTGCACTTAATATCCTAGTTTTAAAACCACACTAAGATTTAAAATGAGAAAGAGATTGATTTCTGAACCCACCTCAGACCCTGAGATGAAATGCATTGGGAGAAGTTTTCCCTCACAGTCAACCAATGGCAGATAGGCCACCTGTTCTTCATCAGTGGACTCAGTGTTGGCACCGGCACCCATGCCTTCATCCATGTCCATCTCCATGGGAACCAGGGCAGAGAAATGTCCCCTTGTATAACCAAGAGTCACAGGATTTTTCCAGCAGAAGGAAGACTCCCACAGAAGGGGCAAATAAACACCTGTGTTAAAACCGATTAGAGAACGTTGACAGTAAAAGAATTACAATTGCTTTTCAAAATGTACACTTTCATTCCTTATTTTAGCAATGCTCCCTTTTTTTGTTGATTATTTGGTAACAAGAAAGCAAAGCAATCAGTAAATGTTGTTGAAAAAAAATTCAATACTTTTATACAAATCTTTTATTCTTTTTAAATAAAAAAAAAAAATTACATGTATAGATTTATTACAAAGGAAAGCTAGAAATTTTAAGAATGCTTTTTTTTCCAACAGCCAAAAGAAATCTGAAAACAGGTATCAATATTCAAGTTTTGCTTACCTTGAAATTTGGCAAACCCTATTGTTTCTCCTCTGAAACTTTTCACATATTTGACACCATAAACTATAATGGGTCGTCTCAAAATGTGAGCTAAAGCAAAGATGTGTGTCTGCTCCAGAGATGTTCCTGAAATTATTATAAAACAATGATCTCTTGTTATAGTTTACCTAATTTAATGGGGACTATTTTAAGTGAGTTACTACTACTTCTGGCTAAATAATTGTTAATGTGTTTCAGTCCATGGAAAAGGAGCATCAAAATAATTAATATTTTAGAAATTGTTTAATTTTCAAAAAAAAAAAATATACATATATGATGTATATACCTGGCTGACTAGCCAAACTTAAAAGTACAGCCCAGTCATGCTGCCATTGACTTTCATCTAATGTAAAGTTTAGAGACTCTGCTTGCATTGATTCATATTCTTTCCAGCGAGGATAAAAACTGAAAAAAATAAATGATGCAAATTTTTTTAAAAAATGATATTTACAAGCCATTTAACATTTCTAATCAATTCTGAATAATTTCATTTTTAAAAAGTACAAGTCCATTTACTTGAGAAATTGCTTCATTTTTCCATAGAAAAAGAAATAATATTGTTTCCCAACATATGAATACAAGCTGATGTTAATTATTAAGGAGTGCAAATTACTAACTTCATGGCCCCTTCTCTTAAGCTATCAGCCAAGGCACGACGCAGAGAATTGTCTAAATCAAATACACCCCAGGAGGCTTGTAGGACGGAATCTAAGAGGCAGTCTCCCGCAGTTCGATTCCACAAGGCATATAAGCGACTGCCTAATCTATCTGTCAACTCTAGGCTCCAGTTGATTATGGCCTCTTCCACCTCTAATTCTGAATAAGTAAACAAAAAAGGTGGCACCATATTTGATCAGAAACACAACTTGGGCTTGTAAATAAAAATGTAAATGCTTTCTTTCCATCATGTCTGTATATAGTATACCAACACTAATGAAATATATACAGCTATTAAACAACTTACCATTTTGAACATCTCTGTCTAAAATTTCATCAAAAAGCTGTTCTTGAATATGCCTCTCCAGGTCTTCAATATCTGTTGGGATAACAATAATAATATATATTTTATGTGGTATGTCTATGTTTTAAATAAGATTTTTCTTCTTCTTCTGGTTCTGGTAGTGTTCGTTGCTGCATCCATATGCTGGCATCTGTGCAACGTTTGGGGGGGATGGTAAATGTTTTCTTTTTTCATTTTAACACTTTATTTCACGATGTCATTAGGCGACTACCAATTTTTAAGCTTTACATCCACAGCATTTTTAGTTTTTTTACACTGATCAATAGTAATTTTGTCACAAATGGCTTCAAATGAATTTGAGAGCAGTTTATATTTATATGTAATTATAGATAATTCATTGGTAATTAATGTTACCTGTGATAATACAGATTCCTGTATTTAAATTTATGTGGTGAAATCCATACCATACATCATGTCAAAGATGTTGAGTTTACTTTCTTATAACCTCATGTTTCACAATGCCAGGGAAAAAAGTCAGGTGGATGGATATGCTTGTGACTCTTTGGGCCATTAGGATATTAATGTGTTAAAATTATTTCCCTATGAATAGCAAGCAATCATGAAGGTGATAAAAAAAAAATCTCAAGCTTTTACCAGCAGGTAGTGAGAAAGTGACACAATCCGTCAGAAATGAACATGGGAAATCCCCTTTCCTCTGCCTTAAAGATGACACCACTTGTCTCCTGATGTCAGTGGCCAGATCTGGACAAGCCATGCATGGTAAACGTTTTGTGGCTTTAGCTGCTGCATCAGTTGCAGTGAGTAATATTGCAAGCATGTCCTCTCTTTTAAACCTTATTGCTAAGTGCACTAGTGTGTAGCCCGCCTTAAAAAAAACACAAAAGAAAACCAAAAAATGCTGATGGTAATGCAGGCAATGTTAAGAGATGTTAACTTCAAGATGAGGAAAATAGTTTGGTCTAGTCATTTATTCAAGAATAATTTTTTAAAATAATTTTTTATGAGACTCTTTATAAAATATATTTATTTTAATCAATGTTACTTCATTTAAAAACTCAGTATTATATAAAAATTGCAGTTTATTTTTAAAGAGGCTAAGTTATTGGCATAACATTATTAGTTGAACACCAATTTTCACTCATTACAAAAGTTTTAACAAAAAATCATGTTTGTAATATTAACATCTAAAGTTGGCAAACCTGAAAGGCACTTGGTCGATCAAGAAGTTCAACCTCCTGCATAGTCAGCTGCCTTGATGGATGCCCCCCTCCAGCTACAAAGGCATGAATAGCTTCTAGATCTCCCTCAACTGCTCCCATGCAAGCATTCAACCACAACCAGTCAGAGTCTCGCAGCTTAGACCGCAGCACTGCAAGCCTTTTCTCCCTTGCAACTGGTGGGGATGATGGCTGCTTTGATGACGTTAATGCAAATGAAGAGGCTGATGCCCCTGCCTGATAGTTATGTGCTTCAGTTCGATCAAGGATGCCACGTCGTCCAGCAATAGAAGACGATGGACTCCGTCTCTGGATGTTTTCAGACTTGCTTGAGCCAACAGCTTCATGAATGTCAACTGCATTTTTGTCTTTTGGAGTCCCACAGATAACACACTTCTGTGAGCGTGGCCAGTTTTCATAGGTGCACGTGAAACAGATCCATTTTGAAGGGTTTAAAAGAAGTGGTGATTGAGTGCCTGACTTGTTGCCGTTGTTTGAAGCCCTTTCTATAGTTAAATTGTTTGATATAGAGTTTGGTGACAGTTTGGTAGGGGTGGTATTACCTGCTTGATGTCCCTCTGGAGAGTTTAGAATTAATCCAGGAATATTATCTTGAGCTTGAGACACAGGTGGGGACATTTTCCGTTTTGGATTTAAGCACTGGACACATTTTGTTGACTTGGCCCAGTTTAGATATGTACATATTTCACAAGCCCACTTATTGTTTTCTCCACTACTGCCACTACTACATAAAATATTCAGTTCTGTTGGAGGCATAGAGACTAAAGGAGCCATTTTGTATATGTCCTGCTCTTCATTGATTGTGTCTGAGATCAGGTGGGGAGCACGCCATTTGAAGCACATTGTGCATTTTTTGGCGGCAGGGAAATTTTGATAGGTGCAAAATTCACAGGCCCATTTTGCTTCACCTCCATCGTTCATCTTCTAAAGCTGCTCTACCTTTTAATGAATCATGGGGAAAATTTAAAGTAAACTTAAAATTAATAAATACATATATTTTATTTAGGGATGTGAAAAGATCATTGTAAAAAAATATTGGTCATCAGTTTTATTCTCAGATAGCCAGCGCTTTCATATTGAGGGGATTGTGCCTTTGAAGCTGTGCTGTTTGTATATCAGGAGCACAGAAAGTGCATAGTGCCTAATGATTATTGTTAAATAAAGTACTTGCATCACAGGCTGTTATATTACATGGTGAGCACGTTGATTTGCCATTTCTTTAAATGTAAGAACTTTCAGTTTCACTTTTACATGACTTACATTCTTATATTTAAAAATGTAATAACTTATATTTGGAATATATTTCTATGAATGCCAGTTTAAAAAAATGATAATCAGATAAAAATCTGATTCCTTTATCCATTAATAACTTAGACTTACTCAATTTTTTATTAATGTATGAAAAAATGGGTCTGAAAACTATATATGAAAAAAAGTATTTAAGAAATCATTTTTAAAAAAATATTGGAAAATAATGAAAAGACTTTCAAGTAGGCTAAAATTTGTGTAATCATTTTAAAAAAGTAATAATTTGCTTGCTCAACTAGACACAAGAGAGATTAATTCTCAATGTTTAATGTGCAGAAGACCATTGTTGCTGATGGAGAACAAAAATTGTCAAACCTTTCGCCTAAATGTAGCCACTTGAGGCAAAGCCTCTCTGCCACTCACACTCAGCTCCTATCTTCAGTTTAAAAGGAACAATTTTTAGCAACCAGCAGCTATGATATCTCAATAAGTTGCATTTTTTTTGTCCCTCAAAAATGAGCATAAGGACCTAGAAATAAAAAGGAAACAATGTTTAGTTTGTTTGTTATAATATAAATGATTAAGATTATACAGAGCTAGAAGAGTCTGATTTGTTAAAAAAAATTATTACTTCATAGTGGATATGACTTACCATTTCAACATACTAAAGAGTAAAAATGATACATGGAAAGCATTTTCACTTTTAGAAAACCTTTTTTTTTGTTGCTACAGACCTAGGAGAAGGTCAACTTTTTACATTTAACAAGCTGGTAAAAGTAATAGTTCCATAACTTAAAATGTTTCCAATAAGAAGTGATTTAAATATGCAATGTGAATTAGTGAGAGATATCATAAGTTAACTATGTCATATTTAATGAGACCACAAGAAATTAAGTCTACTGAATTAAATTGTTAACTTTTACTGGAATTTATGAACAAGACTCTTTGGATTTGAAAAAAATTAAATCTAAACTTTAGATCAACATTTTTTTGTGAAAAAGAATATTTCAAACATAAATTTCATTGGTAAGTTGAGAAACCAACTCAACATCATGTTTTTGAAGTCTTAGGTCATGCTCAAAAATCAAAATCAGTGAGTATTGATAATGACTCTTAAAAAGTTCGTCACCAAAAGTCAATTAAAATATAATTAAATATCTAAAAAGGAATTATGTTCTTTGATGTTAGGCCTATAGAAATATAATTAATAGAGGAGAAAATTATTTTATTTAGTATTTATAAGATATCATAAAAGTTTGTGACATGCCAATAGCCGTGTCTTGATTTAGTTGAATGCACGAATATTTTATCATAAGATAAAATGAGTGATTAAATGCTAAATATGGCTTAATTTCATTTCAATAATCCTAGACCAGTGATCCCCAACAGTGGCTCTTGAGATCTTTGAAGGAATTTAATAGATGAAGATCTGTTGTTTTTTTGTTTTTTTTAAATAATCTCTCATGGTATGCAGCTCCGAAAATGTTGTCTTAGCACAGGGGTTGGCACTTTATTTGTGTGATGAGCCATTTTTATAAATGATTTTTATATCTATGAAAAAAAAGGCATGCATCTATTCTTTCAAAGCACTGCAGGTTTCAGACCACTGATGTCAAGATATTTGGGCAATTGTTTTAGAGGGGGTAGGGGGTATTTCAAAGTCACCAAATGCTCTCAAGCCAAACCAAAGTGCAGTATGTGTCGGGTGGATTTATCAGATGAGCATCATGCTTATTATCCTGCGGACCAAGCAAGGACCAAGTGGTGGAGGTATGTTTTCTGATACCTCATAGATCTGTTTATGATCAATAGCTTTATCCTAATGAAAAATGCTAAACCAACTGATAATAAGTGGAGAGACTGCAGATTAGCACAATATGAAATGAGTAAAACAAAGTAAGGTTCGTTGATGAAGGCTTCCTGCCGTTACGTGTGTTGTTTTGTTGCTTTCCTTTTTCATGTTTAACCTTACTTTGTTTTACTCATTTCATATTAAACCAACTGATGCCTCAGTTCTCCAGCCAAAAACCATGTTATGTTTCATAAGGCTGTGTTAGACCCAATTTTGACAGAGGCTACCAAATACAGGCAGCCTGATACACTGAGTATTTCTGGCAGATCCAGCCATTACAGAAGTCAGCATATGTTTAGTCCAATGCCTGGTAGATAATTTAGATGTTACAAGTGCTTGATTGATGGTAATAAGACAGACAGTGGTAAATCCAGGGAATCAACAACTGGCTGTTATTTGTGTCAGGTTCGTGTGTACAACGGCTCCTGCTTTTCTAAATTCCATGAGACTCTAAAATCACAGTAAATGACAAACTATGGGGTCAATAAAAATTCCCTTAAAACCCATCTGTTTAGGTCCGCCTATGACCTGTGATGCACCCTCCTTGCCCTGCCTCATTTTCTGTCTCGGGTTAATCCTGCAGTATAGGCCAAAACGTGCCAAAGTGTCCTCGTTTTATAGCCATTTTAATTGTTTCTATAGTATAGTAGTTACTATCCTAATGTCTCATTTTTATTTTAGTTAGTTTACATGTTTTTAATAATTGTAAAGCGCTTAGAGCTTTAAGGTAAGCACTATATAAAAATGCCTAAATAAATAAATGCTCCTAAAATTCATAGGAAATTTGAAGAACTTTTTATTTCATGATTTACAGCAAATATATTTGTAAATTACTGTAAATTAAACTATACATTTTTGAAAAGGTGGTTAAATTTTCTTAATTTTTAATTCATGATTTGTTAAAATAGGTTGATGTTTTGTTGTCCAAAAAAATATATTTTTTTAAATTCTTAAATTGGGTGCATGTATTTTAGTGTGATCTGCCCTTAAACTTTCCTTAACATTTCAGGGGGAGTTTTAGTGGTTAGTAGTAGTAGCAAAAGGGATAAATGGCTGCATTTCCCGGGTCCTAACTTCTGGAAGTTGTATTTTTTTATTTTTTTAAAAACCAACTCTTAAAACATTTTACTATTTTTGTGTGTGACCAGGACCAGGAGTGCTAAACCATACTTGATGTGTTATATTTTTATACTTCTCAAGCTGCCACATTGGCCTGCTTGATGCTTGATATTTCATGTCATGTCTCCCCAATGCCCACTCATCAAAATAAAATATATATCAAATACCATCCTTTGATTGACTATCATCCTAGATCACAAACAGTAATTTTTTTTTACTCAGCCATCAGAGGTAGCCAGCCCCCCCTCCCTCCCCCCCTTTTTCTATGCCTCTACTGCGCACCCCCACATCAATGCAAATATGTAAATACAAGGCAAATTAGACACTTTAATATTAATAGCAAATTGTCACAATGCCCTGACACCCCCATAACCACCTGATGACACTGATGTGATGTTGTTTATGGCAGCCCCTTAATTCATGGCAGATATAATGACATAGTTATAGTCATAGTTAAATGATGTCTCCTCACTCAAAAACGTTTGAGGACCTGGCTTTATTTTTAAATCAATTTAAACCATTTAATCAAATGTCAATCAATAAATTCACAATTTTACAATGTTGTAGGCCTAATCAAAGTAAAACATTACTGATTACTCCAATTCCAGGTTTTAATTTTAAGTGCACAGGCATCCTCCTGAATTCATCCCTGCATGTGATTTGTGGCTCCCTAACAATTTTCTCAACAGATCTAATTTAAAAAATGGCTCTTCTCTCAATAAAGGCTGCCAACCCCTGGCCCTGTTTAATTTAATAAGTGTAAACACTATTAACTAGCATAGCCGTAGCCGTTTGACATTGCTTTCTTTAGTTTTACTATTTACTGTTTGTTATGATCTTTTATTTTCTTTATTCTTTAGCACTTAAAGTTATCATAGGCCTACCTTTCTTTTATATTGATTGATATCAGGTGAAAATTCCCTAAACGAATGTATTAATTTAAATCTTCATAATTAACTTTCCATGATTTGAATAAGTATAAGGCTATTAGATCTGATCTGTTTAAGCATAATTATTGGATCTGTTCTTGGCAGAATCCAAAATAAACTTATTCCTCCATCTTTATGACATCATAAATGCAGTATCGGACAGAATGTTTCAATGAGTGGTTCTCACATATTTTTGTTTGAATATGCATTATATGGGCAGGCCTATGTTACCATGTATAAATTATAATCTAAAAAACCGTGTTTAAAATTTATTTGATTAAATTATCACCAATATTTGTTAACACTTAGAAAAACGTTGGTTTTATATTGCAAATTAAAAAACCTAAGTGACTGACTTCTTCATTATATCAATCAGTATCAGGGCCAAGGCTTTATTTATTTTGAATTTTTGTCATAGAAATTAGAAAGCATCCGAATGGCGAAACGGCACCTTCTTCCGATGGATTATGCGTGACGTCATTATGGAGACCCCTAAAAGAGTAAAAAAATGTTAGTAACCGGCACTTCTGGAGAAGAAAAAAACCCACTGTTCGTGTTATATGGTATATTTGTATTCATAAACTAAAAGCCGATGACAATGTAATGAGCATGAGGAGAGGCATCACTATGGTTGGTGTCACCCTGTGCGGTAAACTCATGATGTCAAAACCCTGAACCCCCCCCCCCCCCTCACCACCACCACCACCTCCGTTTTCCCGGACTTACACTGAATAATTGTTAAGTATACAGAAACGTTTATAGTTTTGTTAGTCAATTATATAGTGTCAATCACTTCATCAAAATTCTTCCCCTTGCCTTATCACTTTCCAGCGCGTCTACCCCCCCCCCCCTCCTGTGGTGGAAGCCAAACTTCCCTCCCCCCCCCCCTTTTTCACCATGGACCTTGGTCAATTCTGCATGGATTGATTAACAGCACTGCCGTATTAAGGCATGGGCACACTGGGTACTGGGGGGATAAGGTGCAGGGCCGACCCGACGGTTGCTGGCGCCCTGTGCAAGCTTAACTTTGACGCCCGTGTAATTATAATAATTAAAGGAAAAAACTAGTTATTCGGTAATGAGTTTTAGGTAAACTTTCACAGCGTTCCTTTAGTACCCCCAGACGAGTCAAACTTCAAACCTTGGTTTCCTTCGACAATGATTTGACTATTGTCTTTCAGGACTGTGTAAGCTTAGTGTACTTCGCTTAAGTGTGAACAGAAATAAAGCAGAGTTTTTGCAGAAAGTAACTGAAATATTTGGAAAGGATAAACGACTGCAATTCCTTTTCAAAGATTGAAATTAAAGAATATCAAGAAATATGAGAGTCTATTAGTTGTATAGTTTATATTATAAGCTTACTAATTTATGTTAAGAAGTTAAGAAGTGAACTTTTTTTTTTCAAAATGACTGTTTTGTGTTTGCAAAAATCAACTTTATTTTTAAAAATATGATATTATTAATACATAGGCCTACGCTTTTTTAGTTTCAATTATATTTTACATGTTTGTATTATGAAAAAGAATTCCTAAGTTTGTTTTTTTACTCCCCACCCTCTGCGGGCGCCCATGCCCTTAGGTAACTAGTCCCATCCACCCAGGCTACTTGTGTTTTTGTTGTTGTTGTTGCTTGTCTCGGCTTCGCTGGAGATAAAACTCCAGTCCACCCAGCATCTAAGTCCAAGTAAAATGGCATGAGCGAACCGAGGTCGTGTACAAGAGCTGTTGCCATGATTTAACCGAAATAAAAAAATAAAAAGTTGTATAAAAGGATGTTGCCGAACTTTCTCTCCCGCTGTCTCTATTTAGGCGCAAGATTTTTTACCCCCCATCAAAAGTCATTAAATAGTCATCTTTACTTAATAGAGAGAGGCTGCTGAGTTATTGTAATAAGTCCCAAGCCCAACAGTGCAGTCTTATTTTAAAGTAACGTTTTTGATTACTTTGTCTTAAAAAAATAGTTCAGCTCATATGAAATAAATTTCCCAATGTTATGGATGATGGTGAATCTGGCGGAAGTAGTAACACATATGTCAAGAAAGATGAGGCAGCTTTCAAAATGTAAGAATACAACACAGATTTACTGTAATTTATTTTTTAAAGTTCAACAAGATAAAATTCATGAACACATTATTATTATTTAATGTTAAACCTGGCTTATGTGCATGATTATAAGTCATTTAATTTAATCTAATAAAGTAAAGTACTTGTTCCTTTAACATGTATATAATATAAATGCTCATCCCCATTTCAAAGCCTCATCGTAAACTTTTTCTTTTAACAACCATTGAATCAATGAAGTGTAAAGCAATTCATAGAAACTTCATACATTCAGTTAAGAATCATATATTTATATCTTGCTCGTCCATCAAAATCGATTATGACCATGTTAATCATCTTATCGGTATATGTTAATTGTGAACTTGGATTTGGGTGCGCATATATACCATCTAGTTAATATGTGTCTTCCATACCAGTGGTCTGGAAACAATTTCTTTAAAAAAAACTAAATATATAATTTATCTTACGATTAAATAAAATTGTTAAAAAAATTGATATATTTGTTAAATTGAAAAAAAGAACATTAACAGGCAGTTAATTTTTACATTAGTTAACATCAAAATTGACTCATGAAACTAAGATTGCTCTGGTCGTAACATACTTTTAGAAAATTATTTCTGCACAAATTCATGATCAGTTTTATTTCACACAAAGGAGATACCTGTAAGAACTCTGAGATAGAATTTCTGTATATAAGTTAGATTTAAGATTACAATCTATATGTGAAATACCAGTTTGGGAATCGGTAGTTTGTCCACTACGACAGTACCATACATAAAATGATATAACTGAGTGGGAATACATATGTATATGTCAAACAAACGGTTCAATTTTAAAATATTGTTTAAGTTTTAAAAGCAGATTTAGATAAAGAAAAACATCATCCAGAGGCTGCTATGTTAAGTTAACACCTTTATTTGCATTTTTCAAGTGGGTGCAGTTTTGGTAGGAAATGAAGGCTAGTTGTAAGGGTAGTGGTTTATAAATTGATGATGTCACACAGACTGTTGTCTATAAGTTTTGTTGACAAGGTATGATTGTGATGATTTGTGTATGTTTGTCTAAATGTGATAAGAACTGATTGTACAAAGACATGTGATGTTATTGTAAAATTTATGTTAAAAAAATGATAAGTTAAAATTTTTCATCACAATGTAATTTTTTTAAATTTAGAAAAAACAGATGCAAAAGAACAAACTATAAATAACCCCACAAGAAGACCGGTAAGCAATATATTAAATAAACATATCTTGTGATTTTTTAAAAAGCTTTAGTTATTACATAATAAGGCAGGCCTGCACAACTCAAAATGTCAGGCGGGCCGTAATATTTTATGAAAACTTGTGCGGGCCAAGAAATATGACAGGACTTGTGCGGGCCAAAAGAAAATAGGACAAAGGGAAGAGCTATTAAGAAAATAATAAGAATACTGAATATTTCGTTACTTGGCAGGCTGCAAAGTGGGTGCTGGCGATACGGCCCGCGGGCCGTTGGTTGTGCAGGCCTGACATAAGGCATAATAAATCTAGGTTAAAAAAGAGACCAGAATAATAAAATTCAGGCAGCTGTACTATATTTACTTGCATATTGGTTGCACCAGTTTATAGTTTGCACCCTCAGTTTGGGGAGAAATGTGGCGCTTTTTAATGTAAACATAACTAATATTTGTTAACAGGCATCACAAAAATGTTTCCATAAAAACTTGAAAACAGAAAAGATATGGTAATACAATATATGATCTTCTATAAACATTAAAAAGCAAAGAATTGCCCTCTGGTCGAGCGCAAGGGAGAAAATGATCTCTTACTTTGGGTATAAAAGATTTTTCCATTCTGAATAACAGTAAGCACCCTTGATTTGTAAAAAAAATATTTCTGTAACAAAAGTGCTACCTATATGTGAGTATATGTGGTACTCATTGGCACTGAAAGTGTCTTTCTAAACTAGCTGTTATGCCAAATTTCAAAGTCATTAACCCTCTCCATGGCAACTGGGTGTAATACACCCGGAGACAAGACTTTGATTGCTGTTATCTTGAGTCTGCTTTTAATAATCCTTCTCCTACTCTACCTAATCCACGAGGTAGTTGGAATGAACACCTTGGTGGATACATTTGTTTAAAGCATGCGAAAGTGACTTATTTTTTTTCTACAGTCCCTTGCAACTGGGTGTAACACACCCGTGCATAATTTAATAGAAGAGAAAACCTTCTAAACTGGCTTGTGAACATTTTTGTTTGGTTGTTGTTTGTTGTTATTTGAGTCTGCAATGCATGACATAGAAAAGATTTAAATTTTGACGATAAATAAATATTCTGAATGGATTAGGGTACTGAGGTACCAACAATAATAGCGTGTATTCAACTTGACAAACCATCTCAAAGCAAAACAGTCACATGTACACATGGAAAATAGGGGCTTTGCAGCTCAGCTAGATCATTTTTTACATTAAAAAAAACAGAATGTTCTTTGCAAATATGTCTCAAAATCTTGCTGAGTTGAAGTGGTTTGGGCAGCTGTTTGAAGTGTTTGTAAAGATTTCAAAACACTGGCGATGTTCTGCCTCACAATATCTTGGTGCGTTGGGATGGATCGTCTCTACTTGCGGACGGGTGAGGAAATGAGCAACGCCAATATTGACTGTCTGTTGTCTTGATGAGACAGTGAGTTAATAAGATATTTATATTCAAAGGCCACTCTTGCTTCAACTGATGCCAAGTCAACAATGTTGAAAAACACAACCAACGTCTACTTTTAGTTGTTTTTTTTATTCACAGAGAACTTCTTGGCCATTTGGTCCATAGCGAATATGCCGCCTTTGATTTTGTTGTTATAGAGCACAATCTCTGGTTTCTTGCATTTAGTTTTGCTTTCTATATCTGGATGATTGTGTATTGTGTTCGGGAGCAATACATTTTTCTGTTTCGAGCTCTCTATTTGACAAAATCACTGATATGTTGTAAGGCAGAGCCTTCTTTTGCTCGAACCCCTTGGGTAGGAACATCTTGTTCCATTTCACTGTTCCAACTAGAGTGAGCCTGTTCATAGCCATTGGTTCTGCAAGTTGTAGGGGAATGAAATAATAGTCTGTTCTGAAATTACGGCCACTTCCATGGAAGTCTATTGTGAGAGAAATCACAGTCTCTGGGGATATTCCAACATTTCTCTTTGCTGGCAGGACACTTTCATTTTCTTTGTCAAGATATGGGCATCCTCTCAGAGGCGTTTGAAGACGATTCACAGGCCCAGAGGATTTTTATTCCACATTTGTCAAGCTTGCTTGAAATATATTGAATAAATCTGCACCGACCTGAAACCAACCTGTTGCTCACCTACTGTGATGTTCTGTCCAGGAACAAAGTACCTTGCCAAATTACTCAGGAATGTTTCTCATACATCTCTTATGGGAGCAAAGATGTCATGAGCCAGAAATGATTGATCTAGTATCCTTGTTGTCAAAGCCAATATGAATAAGAAACTAGGTGAATCTCTTCATTGAAAGTGCTACCCTAAAAATAGGATTTCCATCAACAGGGCTGAATAAAAGTTCCACTGAAATCCTGTTCAGGTGAAGAGCGCCAGTGTGTAGTAAACAGCCAATAAAAGCTTTCATTTCGATCGCATCAGTCCGTTGCCTTTGGTTTTCTACAGTCCCTTGCCTTTTGTTTTCTATTACTTTCTCACTTTCCTTGTTGGTGCAGTCAGCTACGGTACTGTTTGTATCATTTTTCTTTAATGTACAGAACAAATGTGAGAAACTAAGCAATCTGTGAAGGGAGTTCGGTTTCAAGGCAGCTAAATCATGCCACGTTGTAAAAAAAGAAAATAACATAAAGAGAACCATTTACTGTGATATAAGACTATGGGTTGCCAGGAATCGCCAGAAGCCCTTTTTTCCATTATTATCCATAATAAGTGTATGGATGTGCTACACCCAGTCACGAGAGACAGGGTATACAATATTTTGCAGCGGAAAAGGTTAATAAGCATATTTTTAGAGATCCTAAATCATAGATTGCCTAAATATGAAAACTAATATTTTATAAAAGCCAAGACATAAGAAATTTCATGCCTACAGTACATGAGTAGCTCAATTGTTATGAAAACATTGAGTTTTTTGGCTGAGAATAACAGGTGTAACATTTGAAGACCAAAGCCAGATGTTAATCTTATTTACCTGCAATTAAGAAATAAATCACAGAAACATATTACTGAATAAAGGATTTACGTTACATAAAAAAATATCTAAAAACATCAATCATAAATTTCAAAATGGCTAATTCAGATAAGCGCACATGATGAATTTGCATTACAATAACTATACAGGCATACAATAACTATACAGGCATTGAAACAAAAAACATATTCAAGCTCTAACAAGGTTGATATGTTTTACCGGTACATTTAATTGGAGTAGAAAAATAGTGGCATGATTTGAAACAACATTTTATTATCCTAAATGAAAGCAGTTGAAGCACCTTGAATGATCTCATTATCTTTGTTACATTATAAAAGTCACATCAAATCATATAAAAGGTGAAAGTTACATATTTTGCCTATTCACCTTTTTTAGGAGAGGTGAAAAAAAATCCATAAATAAAAGAGTTTCAGCAAAGAAAAAACCTGCTTTTACAAATGCATCAGTGCACAGAATAAAAAATCCATTAAACTTTCATGGTTCTGTATGCCAAATAAAAAAATACCGGTAACAGGAAACAATTAAAATTTGTGTAACTGCATTTTGTTACTTTCTCACAGGTTATCGAACTAATCATTAAAAATATTTAGAGAGTTCTGAAAATCTAATTATTAAAAATACAGAGAGAGTTCTGAAAAATATATAATTGGAAAGAATTTGGATAACATGAGCATAAACAAACCAGATGATGCACTTATAAATATTGTTCCCTTATCGATATTTAACACATGTGTTGAAGATATCAACTGTTGCTTGAACCCTTTAATGTTAGCTCTGTAATTCAATTAGACAAATAAGGTTAAAGTATTTTTCAACTTTCTTAACATTTAATTTAAATGTTGTTGGCATTAATTTTATAATGAAAGCTGACTCATTTCTTTTTAAAAGCCATCATAGATTAGGCTCCCTTTGAAAGCTCTGATGCTGCTGATCTCAGTAAGTTAAGCAATGCAGACCTCTGAGCTTGGGCTCCAATGAATCTTGTGAGAGCTTCTATTGATGTAGCACCAACAAGTTCCTGAACCTTCTTTACTAGCTCTGCTTTATCTTCATCTGTTAGATCCTGCATTACATCAATCAATGACTGGTAATCATCACTCATTCTGTAGCCCATCAAGGAGCCTAAATAATAGCAATAAAATATTTTGAATGTAAAATAAAGTAGAAAGTATGAATAAAAAGAGTCTAACAATATTATGGTACATTTTATCAACTTATAATTCCTTTAAAAAATGATGATATTGGAAGAAAAGGCATACCCGCTAAACCTCCTATCATTGCACCAACTGGACCTCCTACTGCACCTCCTGCTATTGTGCCTGCTGCTCCCCAGGCAACTTGCTTGAATATACCTACAGATAAAATACTAAAAGTTAAATTTTAAGGAAAATTATTTCCTACTCCTACAGATTAAAAGATGTGAATAAATTCAAAATGTGTTCCAAACCTTTTCCAGTTTTATGGAGCTCAGGGTTGGTTTTTAATAGATCCATGAGATGGTTATAGTAAGGCAGGAACGCCATGCCAAGAAGGTCTGCAGCCATATTCTTTGTAATATTACTCAAGAAGAATCATTAAAACTCTGAAAAGAAAGTAAAAGGATTATTAATATTAAAAAGGCTAATTTTTTAACTCCTTGCTCTACTGTGCCAAGACTGACAGCTAATTAATATTTTACAAAATTTATGTCATATTAGTCATGTTTTATATAAGATTCCCTTCCACTGATATCAATATCAATGCTATTTGGATTTTAGTTCAGGTTATTTTTTCCTGTGCGTGCCAATATTTTTTTAAGCAGCAAAATTTAATTCAGTACAAATTCAGAGAAAAAAACAAATCCTTAGTCAAAGATTTAATGTTACAAGTCAATTTGACTTGAGTTATTCGGTCAGGCAACCAACTTGTTATTTGCTGTGCCTAATCCTAAAGTTCAGCTGCATATCAGAAATTTTTGTTTAGTTTAATGATAAATAATAAGATAAGGATATTACTTTAAAGCACTCATTTATGAAGGCTTACAGATTAGAAGGCCTGATACTTAATAATCTATGTCACATGTGACATGTGTAATTTAATACTCAAAGTGTTAATCATAGTAATACAAAATTTATTCCTCTGGGTTCTTTTTTTGGTGCACACTCTTCATGCCTTTGTCATTCTTTCTAAGTCAAAAAGTGTCCCACCTAGCATAGCCTGCCCTTTTTTATTTCTGCCACAAGTGTAGGATCCTGATAGACTATACAATTCCTGGTTGGTTCGTATTCTCAATCCATATTCATCCTTTGTTGGTCCATATATTTTCTGGAGAACTTTTCTCTCCCATGTGTTTAATTTTAAAAGATTTTCTGCCATTTGCATTAGGTTCAATGTTTTACTTGCTTAACTGGTCCGATTATAATTTTATATACGGGTTTAGTTTTCTTTGTTTTTCTTGAAAGTTTTTTTACTTTTGAGTAGTTTCTGACTACCGCTTCTTTAAGTATGCCATGTTTAAGGCTGATTTCTTTTTTTTTTATTTCTGTTAGTGTGTTAGTACTATTAGTTAGTGTTAGTAATTTCTTTCTTTCATTTACTAACAAATGGATACTATCAGTATCATTGAAACATTAATAATACTAAAAATAATTACTAAAATTAACATGCATCCTCAAAAACTTAATTATTAATATTAGACTAATTAAGTTAGTAATTATTTAATACATAAGTTATGTTCTTATATTTATTCTAGCTGCAAATATATTATTCTGTCTAAACCAGGGGTCTCAATCTCGCGGCCCGCGGGCCATTTGTCAGTTAGTGCGTAAATGCACAACCATAATTGTGTAAATCGTAGCAATCTGAAACAGTTTCAAAGAATGACTATTAAATTGCTGCTAATGTTTACGAGCGAGGGAAATTCCAAAACTGTCAGCTTGGTCACTTGCGCTGTCAGGTCTCTGGCAACAGGCAGTAGGAGGAAGAAAGTGAAGCCTAGTTCTTGAGAATCCTTAAAGTTTTTGTTATTACTAAAGGTTGAGCAGATTGTAACAGTTTTACTTTATTGAATTTTTAATCGCTTTTTTGTGGAATACTTGATGCGGCCCAGTCTCACCCAGACTCTGCCTCCTGCGCCCCCCGCTGATTTGAGTCTGAGACCCCTGGTCTAAAGACTAAAATTAAAGGCCACGGTAAAAAACGGTAAATTTGGAGAGATAGCGTCATGGCCGCCATCTTGGTTGCCGTGACCCGCAGACGTATGTCCTAAAGGTATCCCTAAACCTAACCGGAACTCTAAACTTATCCCTAACCGGCTAATTTGGAGAGATAGGGCTCTGATGTCATTTGCTTGTTTTGTTTTGGATTCACTCCCCTTATTTTTTGTTAAAAGAGTTACATTTTCCTAAATATCACGATGGCATGTTTTAATTAAATTTTTATTGGTTGATTAATTATAATTTTAAATTTTCATTGGTTAGCTTATTGTCATATTTTATTTGTCCCGCCATATTATATTTGATATATTAGGGGCACATGTGGGGTCTTGTGATTTATTCATTTTGTGGATATTATTTTCGGTGGAACCTGAAATAAAGGGTGTAAAAGTGTATTTCATGAAACTGTAAGTTGGGTTTTCATTATTTCTTTATTTTATAATTATTTTTGGCCCTTTTTCATTGTTTATGTTCATTTTTCATTGTTTTCTTGCCACAGTGTGTAAATTCCACGTGTTTTTACTTGTGGCTTTAGGGCTAGTTTTAGGGTTCATATTAGGTTTAGGGATGGATTTAGTGTTCAGGTTAGGTTTAGGGATCGATTTAGGGTTCAGGTAAAGTTTTGGGATCGATTTAGCACATTTTTTTTTCATTAATTTTTAACGTTTTCTACCTAATTTTAGCAAACGTGAGTTATTTTATTTTTTTAAGGCCACCATCTTGTTTGCCTCGACCTGTCAACACGTAAAAGTTCGCTGGTCGCGGTAACCAAGATGGGGGCCATGGAAATTTATGCGGGCCTATCTCTCAAAATTTACCCCCTAACCTTGGTTTTGACCCTATCAGAACCAGGGTTAGGGCGTTATCGGAACCAGGGTTTTGACCTTATTGGAATCAGGGACAAAACAGGCAAATGACGTCAAGGTGCTATCTCTCCAAGTTAGCCTAAAAAACAAATTTAAAAAAATAACAAAGTTAACACAGACTTAACACAGGGACAAAGTTTACAAAGTCGTCAACTCAAGTCAAAGTGTAAATTGTAAATAGTAAAAAAAAAAAGTCAGTTAACTCAAATTCTTTCCTCCCCATGATTCAATATATAAAATATAATAATAATATAATATCAGATCATAATTCAGACTCAAACAAATATAATTATTATATCACAAATAATTGCAATGGCAATAGATCTCAATAGTCTAACTTAAAACGTTTGGCTAATATTTCATTAAACAACTTACACTTTCTTTACAAGAACTAAATTATTAATGCTTCATAAGAAAAACAAATCTGATGAAACATGAGGTGGGTGATGAAAATATATCATTCATAGAGCCATTATTAGTTCACTCTTCTTTTTAAAAAGTTAGTTAAAATAACAACAAATCTTGAATTTTTCACCGAAACCCTTTAATCAACCAAGTCGAATTCGAGATAGTCAGTTACTTTTGAGAAAGTATAAATTTTTGTTGAAAATAATATACATTTAAATAGATTCTTTGTGGTAATAGTTGGAGTCTTTAAAATCTAAAATTATATTTTTAAATTAGGACACTATTTTAAACAATTATTGTCATGACATATCTCAGATAATAGCTGTATGAAAAAGGAAATACAATTTTGGCGTATCTCGGTTACATCACGGATCTCGACAATGAGACCAATAGACAACATAGGAAAGTAATGACCGTCTTTGTACATGTGTACGAGTACTATATAAACTATATTGTGCTTCAAAGGGCTACACTGCCCAAACACGCATATTCTTAAGGTTTTCAAAGATTATTTTTAAAAAATAACGTCTAAAAAGCTCAATTTTATGTGTTAGTGACTAGGTCATATTCATTGACATTGTTGTTGGATCCAAAATAAAAGTAGGGCAGTAGACTCAGTTGACTTGACGGTGTCAACTTGACTTGAGTTGTACTTAGTCTTTAGTACTTGTGTATCAGAAAGACTGACTTAATATTATCATTTAATACATTTACAGCTAACCTATTAATATAACTTTATATAGTTTTACTGTAAATATTAGTGTAGCGTGAGTAAACGACATCCAAAATCATCAAAATGTCATCTTTAAGGAGCTTAGCCATGCCTTTTTATGTAAAACAACAGCTACAATACTTGCAAATTATGAAACTACAATGTTTGAAATGCTCTTCAACTTCAAGTGTTAAAAAGGTACATAACATACAATTACATAACATGCCTAATCTGATGTTTTTTCCATTTTAATTTTATTATATAATCTTACATGTTTTGTCTATTTAACTTGTGGGGTTATCCATAATAAGAAGTAACACTAACATTACTAACATCACACATCTTGTGGGGGGTGGGGGCGGGGGTCAAGAATTTGTTATATAAATATGTTCTAAATAACTATCTAATTTTTTGTTTAAAATTTGTGACATTGAAAGGTTGTAAAATATAGTTTCAAATAGTGTGAATCATTTAAGGATGACAATGTAGCTAGTTCACTGGGTCAAATTTTAAATTATTTTATCATATCAAGTCATTCAAATTAACATGCACTTGTTCCTAAAACTTTGTGAGAGGACATTGAGCACCAGACTATACCAAAATTTATTAATGAAATCAGTAAAAAATGTACACATTTTAAAACCATTCATTGAATTAAAGAGGTTGGACAAAAAGAAAATGTAGACCGTTATCATCTTTAAAAAAATATTTATGGATTGATTTATAGCTTATCTGCAATGATATACTTATATAGTTTATAATGTAACTTTTTTTTGGATGGAAATTCAATAAGCTGTAACTGTAACTCATTTTAAAAATATTTTTAAAAATATAAGCCTATATATCTTCATCACCACATGATATAAAAAAAGAAATTGAAATCCACTAAGCCTAAATTAAAGAATATTTTATAAATCTTCTCAATGGTTTTGTTCCACAACCTAACTTTTCCAGAACAGGATCCCATCGTTTGTGGATTTTTTGCAAATTCAAGCATGTGGTGGGGCAGGTGGTCAGGGTCTACCAAAGTATGGTGGATTTGGAGGTGACGGAGGAAAAGTTATCATAAAGGCTAGTTCAAAAGTTATAGCACTAAAGCAAGTCCTTCAGAAGTATCCACGCCAGATGTGCAAAGCAGGTTCAGGAGAAAACAGCGAGTAAGCTTATTTTAAATTATACACCAAACCACCTTAAGAAATTTATGGTAGAATAAGAGAAAAAAATTGATTACTTTTCATTAAAAAAAATAATAATGAGAATGTTTTCTGAATACTGTTGTCAACTTTTTGTGTGTGTTCTATTTATCAGTAGGTTCCATTTATTAGGTGAGAGAGGTGCTGACTTACAGATCGAAGTACCTGCTGGTGTATTGGTGCATAAACCTGATGGCAAGATAGGTACTAATAATTTCAATAAATCCTAAATTGACATCTAAATTTTTTTTTTAAACCTTCAAAAGTTGAACAAATTAATATTTACAATAAAATTGATTAGTAATGCTCAGATGTCATTTATATAGTTTGTTTATAAATATTCAAGTGAGCTTAAAACATAACAAATATATTTTTTCCCTTCAGTTGACTTGAACAAATCAGGAGATATATGTGTTGTGTCAGAAGGTGGAACAGGGGGTAATCATAAAACAAATTTTTTAGGGTTGAAAGGAGAACAAAATCTGATAGCTTTAGAGTTGAAGCTACTTGCTGATGTGGGGCTTGTTGGGTAAGTAGATATGTCTGTAAAGTTTAAAGAATTATACAATAGAACTTATTTTCATGTATGGAAGTTTAAAAGATATAATGCAGTTCTAGTGTGCAATATGTTTGTATAAGGTTTTCAAAATAATTAATGAGTAGATATGTTAAGTTTTAGCCTTGGTACAAGTATCAAAAGAAAAAAAATAGCACCACCTCTTGAATGTCCACCATCGCTGGAGGACACTTGCATAGCCCTGAACATTAGTGTAGCTTCTTTATAAAGAGATGGTTGCCACAATAAAATGGCCCTTGATTAGGTTCCTATCATCATCCCTCATTTCACCACATCAGGGCCAAGTAGTAACCATGTAGTACTTGTTGGTTGACTCGTAACAAGGGATCTTCACTGACACTATCTTGAATACTTGAACAATGTAGATGTCTTGAGATTGACTTAACATTAACAGTGATATCAACAGTGCTAATATATCATCTTTAACTTAAATTATAATTGATTTTAAAAGAACTATTCATTTCATTCCACTGCCTTATTATTAGCATTGTGAACAGAATGAAACATTTATTTCAAACCCATCAAAAGGTTCCCAAATGCTGGCAAATCAACTTTCCTAAAATCAATATCAAAAGCAAAGCCCAGAGTTGGTGCTTATCCATGTAAGTTTAATGCATTATTTAGGATACTTTTTTTTAAATTTAGGATATTTCATCTAATTTAGGATAATTTATTTAAAGCTTAAATGACCTGTCTGAAAAAACTTGTTAAATTTTTTTTTTTCTTAATATATTATAAGCTATTTATAATATTTACAGGAGATTGTTTGTACACTAAGATTTAAATTAATGTTTATGTGTGTAGTTAATACTTACCATATTCTGGAAAAGATTTTATTAAAAAATTTAATTGATTAATTCAATTGTCTAGTTTTTCAAATAAATCTTCCAGTAGTCATTTAAACAAATGTGTCATGTGTTTCCTTTCTCCAGTTACTACTTTATCACCTCAGTTAGGCATTATGGAATATGAAGATGGGCGAAAGGTGAGGATGATTAATTCTAAATATCATTTTCTTTATACCATCACAGTGCATGTCTTTTTAAAAATAGAGTAAAAATAAACCTATTTTAGTAAATCAAAAGTTCATTTTGCACTATGGCAACAGTTAGTGCGTGATCATAACATTTTCTGGAATGATAATTGTTTTTCTTTCTTTTGCATTCTTTTATTGGTTGTAGGAATTAAATAATTCATAAATAAAGGGAACATTTTTGTTGTCATCTCCAGAAGAAAATATTACAATTTCCCTGTTTTCTTTCTCCAGATATCAGTTGCAGATTTACCAGGTTTAATAGAAGGTTCTCACAAAAATTATGGAATGGGCATTAAATTTTTGCGACACTGTGAAAGAAACAAACTTCTCCTTTATATTCTGGACATCAATCCCTTTCAGCTATCATTTAACAGTCCAGAAAGATCAGCATTTGAAACACTTTTATTACTTATTCAGGTAATTATCAAAGTTTTTGATAAAGGAAAAGGCTGGTTGAGTAAATTAACAAATAACAAAATGTTTTTTTTTTTCTATAGCATTTAGAGTTCCTTTGATTTGGCACCATTTTGAGATTTAATTATCTGCTTAAACTTTAATATCATTATTATCATATACATTTTTAGTAAAGTAAAAACTGAATATTTCAAATTTATCATTACATTTTCTGCCTTGTTTTCTTTTTATGTCACACTTTATGCACTTTGTCCCTATGCCTTTTGTGATTGGTTTCAAATCATATTCGCGGACGATACACAACTTCATCAATCCGTGATGCCCTCTCAGTTCCCTCAAGTTCTTAGTATGACACAGAAGACAGTGGAGTCAGTTAAGCACTGGATGACCATAAACAAGCTCAAATTGAACGATGAAAAGACTGAGCTGATCCCCATTGCCACTGCTCAGAAACAAAAATCTGTAAAAAACACAACATAACTTACTCTCTCAGGTATGCAGATTGAGTTTGCTCAAACAGTGCGAAACATGGGTGTCTACTAGACAGAACACTAACTATAGAAATTCACGTTAACATGCTTTGCAAGGCGATTTTTCTAGATCTGCGCAGGATTAGTCATATCAGACCTTTCTTAACGTTCGAAGCATCAAAGAGGCCGATGTCTGCATTCGTGTTATCACGCATGGACTACTGCAATGCTCTCATGGTTGGTCTCCCAGCTACGCTCCTGGATAAAATTCAAAGAGCACAGAATAATGCGGCTCGCATTGTTCTTCGCAAACGCAAATTTGACCATGCTAAAACACTTCTGAGAGAGCTGCACTGGCTGCCGGTCCGCGCTTGCATAGAGTACAAAATTGCAGCTTTGTGCTACTGCTGCTTACATGACCTGGCGCCGTCCTATCTCAAAGCACTCATGATGCCTTATGTACCCACTAGACAGCTCCGCTGATCCCATAGTGGCAAATTATCGATACCATGTGTTCGCCTTGAGACCTACAGAAAGCGAACTTTTCCATTTGCCGACCCAACAATTTGGAACGCCCTTCCAGTCACTCTCAGAAACAGCCAGACACTGGAGTCCTTTAAAACCGATTTAAAAACACATCTATTTCACAATAGATGCTATCTACCATCTTTTTCCAGTTAATGTATATTGGCTTGTGTTGCTTATGGTTGAAATGGGATGTCAGACTTTGACTTGGTGTGCTTGTATGTAGTTTTATATTGTTGCGTCTGTTTTTAAATGTGGTAAATTTTAAAATTGTTTTTATTTCTCTTTTTAATGTGGTTGACTTTGTACCGCGCTTCGAGCTTTTGGGGATGAAGCGTGTTTTTCAAATAAACTTTATTATTCTTCTTATTATTATTTTGTTGGGCAGGAGTTGGATCAGTACGGACATGGAATGTTGGACAAACCTTCAGTTTTGGCCCTCAATAAAATAGACACAGACTCAACACAGTCACATGTCAAGCAACTGTTGGACCTTGTGAAAAACTTACCAGGTATCTAAGAAAGCTGCAACTTTTTTTAAAGTCAAATAAACAAAGTTGATGCCCACAGCAGCCAGGTCATCCCATCAGGTTTACTAAGGTTTAAGAAAAAATGTAAAAAAAAAAAAGAAAAGAGCTACACAAGACATGACAATAAATAACAATATACGCTAAGCAATAATAATATGACTAATACAAACAAAAGGTAGCCACAATAAAATATCACCTGGCCACATCTTACTAAAAATAATCATAATAGCAAGGGGGATGAATCTGTCGTTTCCTCAAAGCTAATATTTGAAACATGAAACAATACTTCAAAAAGGTTCACATCTACCATAAGTTTTTTTATTTTTGAACAGTAAATCTAGAGCAGTAAAAATTTCATATTTGACCCACGAAATGTGTATGTTACATTTCTGTACTGTGCTGGCAATTTAGAGCTTTTTGGGTGTCCTTGGAAAAGGAGATTTTTCACATGAAAATATTATAGCTAGACCCGATAAAGTATGTGTTTCTTAAAAGTAGACTGAGTGGGGTATCATATTGGCTATTTTGTTAATGCTATTTTATACTCTATGACCCTGACCTTGATGTGACCAAGAGTAAAGTAAATAATGAAAAGTTTTATTTTCAAGTACCTCAAACTACAATTTCTAAAAGGCATATTATTATAATGTTTATATAATATGATAGCATTTTTATTTATCTTTCAGAAAATTTATTATTGTATATGTTTCGGTTATTAATAGATTTCTTCTGAAAAAATTCTTCTAATACTTATAATTACGTTCAAGTAAACAAGCAGAACATAAACAATATAAACATTACTAAATAGCAAAAAACAGATAAAATTTAAAAATCTGCTATATAAAATAAAATCCATAAAATGAAATATAAGAAAAAATACATAGAACTACATCCAGTTATTTTTTGTTGGTACAAAATTATCTGCAATATAGTTTCGATTGAATCCTGTTGCTACTCGTTCTAGGTCTAACTTGTCCGAACTTTCGCTTTCTAATTTCTAACCACTATAAAAATAATCTGAATTATCATTGTCTTCGTGTGTCATGGGAAATTCATCTTCCGAATCACTTAAGTCATTAACTAAAAAGAATCATCAAAAAGATTCCTAACTGATTTATTTTGTAAGCCAGTTTGTCCAACTATGGCTTAATCCATTTCGCGAAAATGTACTTACACAAATTTGCTAGATCGTTGTAAAAAATAACTCCAAAGTTTTAAAAAAAAGGACACAGAATAGCTAAAACGGAAGTTTATTTATTATTAAAAGGAAGTACTTTTATTTAGTGTAAAATTTTGGACTGGCAGTTGTTCTTTCAACGCAATTTTTATCGGTCAACACAGTGCAGGAAGAGAAAATCGGCTGACCACAGTTTATGGGTTAAGGTTAAGCTCTTGAGATGAGATCATAATCAACATAAATTTTCCTCATATGCTTTTTAAATTAACTGCTGTCAAGTTTTTCTAACCTGCTTATTTTTACAATGACCCCTTTTGATCAATAACATTTTTAGCTAAATGATTTATCCACTCAGTGTTACATTGTATTATTTTTCTTATAAATCATTCATTTGTTGGTAACCCTGTTTTCAGATTCCCTTGACAAAGTTCCCGAAGAATTTCATCCGACGAGGTTGCCGGTATTCGAAGACATCATTGCCATGTCTGCCATGAAAAAAGAGAACATTTCAGCTGTCAAGCAAAGGGTGAGAGAAGTCATGGATGACTACGCTGAAAAACGGAGAGCTGCAGAGTTTGAGACCAGAAAAGCTCTGATGGATGCAACTGATGATGACAGTGTTTATAAGGAGCATTTAAAGACTGTTCTTGTGTAGTTCACCAACATAACCTCATATTATTTTCATGATGGCCAGGATTTCGCTTGTATCTCCAGTCATCATAAATAAGGCCGAATGGACTGCAGCTGTGATAAGAAGTTATTTGAGATGTTAGAAACAGAGATTGTTTGCAATTTTTGTAATTAAAATTTACAGTCAAACAGAAGCAAAGGAGTTGCAGTTATTGGAGAGAAAAAGAGAGTGAGGAATTGTTGTCACCTAGTTGCAAACCCAAAAATTATTATAAGACATAAGTATTTTAAACTTGGCACCTTTTGTGTAGGTTTCCATCTATCAAAATACACAATGCTCTATGTAATGATGTCACTACCAGAGGGTACTGATTTCAGGAAACAAAATTTCAGATAACTGCGCTAAATAAAATCTTTAAAAAATACATGAAGTGCATTTGGTTTGTTATATTTTCTTTCCTTTTACTCCATTTAAATATGGTATTATAAATCTGCAATCTGAAAGGGGCTGGGACTTGAGAATATAGTATTGTTCAGGGGCGTGTAAAAAGTGTATGCTTGTTAACCTGTGGGAGCACTAATTTGGAGTTTTATAAAGTATGATACATGGGTGTATGTTTTGTCAAAGAACTTTAAGTACGGTAGAAGATAGTTCACGCATTGCAGCCGCCATTGTTTGTCCGGCTACAGCTGGTTCTACCACATAATTGTGAAGCGGTGGTTAATTGATCTCTTTCAAATTATAATCGTGGCTGAGCAAAAGGACACCTGGTGGAAACTGAAACGTAATGAAGAGAGTTACTCGACACTATAAAAGTATTACCATTATTAGAACTAACAAACGCATATTCTTTTGAGGGTTTGAGATTACGCTCTTTCAAAACCCCAGCTAGCACATTGGCTACCAGCCCCATCTCCTGAGCTGTGCTGTAAAACATGGTCTCCCGCCGCCCTGGCCTCACCTAAAACATCTAGTGGTGGACATTCAATCAACAGGTAGAGTTTCCGGGACAGGGCTGCAATGCTGGCAGATCGGGTGCCTGTTATCATTTGAAGTAAATGATTTCTTGGTTAATCTCATTTAAATATAAGCTAGACTCATATGATCAACCATTCCATCCCATTCTCACACGTACAATTTAATTACTTTGCTATTAATTGTTTAAACAGCTATTTGCAAATATAAAGTTTGGAATGGCTTGCATAACGAGACCAGTTCAGCAGCGGTTCCCTAATCAGTAGGTTTGATAGGGCCCAGTTGAAATGGCTAGAATATTTCATTTGGAATTATTTTCTCATCTGTGTCCTTTAAAAAGTCACTTTTTATCATTCATTTAATTGTTCCGTTTCTGAGAAATTTTATACAATAAAAAGTATTTTCCTTCCAAAAGTGGGACTAAGCAACATCTACAAGAGCTTAAGGGAATTGCATGAAACTTCTTTGACTTAATAACATTACCAAGAGTAAGGCGTACACTATTGCATGAAACGTCTTTGACTTGATAACATTACCAAGAGGAAGGTGTACACTAATGCAAATCCCAGTCAAGTGAATTTATGGACGTTAGTCTCCCCTGAAACAAGTTGACCAGGTTACTTTTTTCTTATTGAAGAGCTGATCAGTAGTCTTATTGGTTTGCTTTTCACTTGACAACCCATTATGATTACGTCATTTTACTCAAACATTCCTTCCAATAATTTAGGTGTTGCATAATTCTCAATTTCGATATGAAAATTAACATTAACCCGGATAGTAGTCAGCTTCACCATTTCGTTAGAGTCGTAGGAACTAGATCCTGGTGATTCAAGTCCAAATCTCCACTGTGTTTTATAGATAACCCCCCCCCCCCCCCTTTTTTATAAATAACCCCCCCCCCCCCCACCTTTTTTTTTAAAAACCTCAAGACGTCACTAATAAAGATATTTTTCAATGTATCATTTGTCTGACAATAGGAATGAATGTGCGACGTGAGTATCAATAAGAAGCAATAATTCAGACAGTATATTAATAACTAACATCTCAGGGATAAAAGAAATTACAAAAGTTATGGGTCTACTTTTAGATGAAAACTGTTATCTACTGAATTAGTCCACTCAGCGGATCACTTATACTTAAAAAAAACAAGCTGTTCAACATTCGGTGGAAATAAATCACAGCCGTATAAGTTATTGGTCATGATTCTAAACAAACTTCCCCACATTTTCTCTTTAAAAAAAAAAAAAATGACAAGTTATATGAGTAACTAGGAGTTTCGCCCGAGTTTTCAAATTTAAACCATGTTTATTGTCTTTGGGTGGCAGCGCTGAGAAGTTCAAGAAGGGACATCCGGTTCTCTTCGCTCAGTACAAACTTGGCCAGGGCATCCTCTGAGTCATCATTAACGAGAGCGTGTACCTTCCTCAGAAGTTCATCTCTCTCTTCTTGGTCCATACCCTGTAGGACCTTCATCATGGGTTGGTACTCATTGCTCGTGATGAAACCAATGACAGAGCCTTATTTAGATCAATGGAAAAAAGTATATATATTTAAAATGTTACACAAAAGCTTTCAGTACCGAAAGAGATTTTATGATTTCGGCCGAAACCGAAACTAGGCCGAAATTTAAAAATGACTTTCGTCCGAAAACGAAATTAAACCGAAAGTTAACATTTCTGTTTCAGTCGAAGCCGAAATTAAACCGAAAGTTAACATTTCTGTTTCAGCCGAAGCCGAAATTAAACCGAAATTTAACTTTTTGGTTTCAGCCGACACCGAAACTAAAATATTTTGGTATTTTGAAATTCGACCACGCATACATTCTACATACGTCAAAAAATGATGGAGAAAGTATCAATATTTGCATCATTTTTTTAATGAGATCATCGTTAATAAATAAACATTTAAATAAATACTTTGGCTTTTACTATTTTAAGCCGAAATTAACTTTTTGGTTTCAGCCGAAACCAAAATTAGGCCGAAAGTGATCAAATGGCCACTTCCGGCGCCGAAGCCGAAATTCGGTCAGTCTCTATTTCAGTATATAACAGCAAGCGTCGAGGAAAATGTTATTTTAAAGTGAAAGCGAAGTTGTTAATAGTTAAACTTGGAGCTACATGGATATTTAAGAAAATCGGGGTGATAATAATACTTTTTTAAGCTAGTTTTCTTTTCTTAGTTTTCACCCAGCAAAGATGCAATGCATGCAGTACAGAAACAAAACTTTACCTACCGACCATGCCGCCTATCAAGGCACCCTCTGGACCATACACAATGCCACCTGCAACTGTCCCGTGTGCTAGCCATAACACCGCCTTGAAGATACCTGTGCAAGGACAATCATTTCACGGGTTAACGATTGGCTTGGGGGATGAGGGGCCAAAATGATTTTTTTTTACAAGTTATTTGTACTTCCTGGCAGTATGAATGTTGTAATTACACACACTCATACACACATATATACACATTGGATGGGCTGGGTGAGGTATAGTAAAAAGTTGGTGACTGATGGCAGCCAGATGACGGTGCCCTCTAAAAATAGCGTCTTCTGAACATTTGTTATAAGATCATACATGTTTTTACTTTTAGAACACATCCGCACTGCATTGGTTAACATTCTTTACGAGTACGATAATTGGAAACTGACATCTTTGTTTCTAAAATCAGTTTTTTAAAGCCTCAATGCCATATTTTTTTAAAATGATAAGCCGTGTTAATTTTTAAAGTATGTTTGAACATGCGAATATCTGAAACACCTGTTGTGCTTTTGTAGAGCTCCGGATTCTCCCGCAACACTCCCATTAGCTGTTCAAAGCTGGATTTCGGCATTTTAAGTGGAAATGAAGTCTATTTTTGTTATCATGTCTGTAAAAACGCTGCTGTTAAAGGTCTGATTTCATGCATTATGCACGATCCTATGGCAACAAGTGTCTAACAGACAAATTGCCAAACAGTGTTTTTAAGAAATCATCAAAAAATAGATATGTTTTTTTTTAAAAATAATTTTTGTTTGAAACATTGAATTGGTTGGTTTTAGTTTACGTGATAAGTCTTAACAGGACTTAACGCCATGGTGTGCCGACTGTGATAGGAAAAATGTGATAGCATTTTCCGTGGACAGTGGATCCACAGCTGCTAGATGTTTACATCATTGGAATGTTGTTATTTGAGAGGCTGTCAAAGAAAACAACAACACGCGTCACTGTTTCAAAATTAGCAATCGGGAAAATTTAAAAAAAAATTGCGCAAAACGATGGTGTGCAAAAGAAGTTAAAAAAAAATCGGTTTAAATGGAACATTACTATCTTTTACATTTAAAAAACAGATGTTATATTTTATCGTATTTTACCATATTTTAATGCTGTTCTATCATAGCCATTGTAGGACTCCAGATGTTGTCTCCTTGCTCTTGTAGGACTACATATGTTTTCCCCTTGCTCTTATAGGACTCCTGATGTTGTCTCCTTGTCCTTGTAGGACTCCAGATGTTCTCACATTTCCTAATTTAAGCTTTGTAAACTTTGTCAAATAACGCGCCGCACTTGGTTTTTACAATGATAATTTTGTTAAAGGATAGTCATTAAAAGGAGAGAGAAAGCGCCATTAATTTAAAAAAAAATACTGGCTGAACAAATCAACCAGCAATAACAATGTTTTAAAGCTTCATTACAAACAAACAAAAAATAATTAATTTGAAGTTTTCTATTGGTACATCTCACCTCGTCTAATGGTTACCAAGTATTCTATTTCGGTTGTATTTACAGCTTTGATTTCGTCCAGGACATTTGCACTTTAAACACCGGGCCTTACGATGGACTGACTGTTGGATTATGATTATTAACAATGATTTAAAATGTAATAAATTAAAAGTGATAAATTGTTAAAGAAATTTTTAACAGTATCTTATTTTTTTAATGAGTTATTTTACTCGGGCATGTTAACTTGGCTTTTTAACTTGTTTCGATAGTTGTTTTTGTTAAGTCCCCCATAACAATAATGCACTCTTACAAGCGCACTTCTTAACTAAAAGTCCATAATACAAGGTTGGTACACTTCAATACAAGTACAAAGTCTTTGCCGTGCCTTAGTTGTGGGTCGACGGGGCGAAATGATGGAGTTTGTTTTAATGGAGAGAGAATTGTTCACTTGAGGGATTTTCTTGGTACAAAATAACAAGAACGTCTATGTTTTGAAATGTTAAGTTTTCGTAATTTTATCTCGTTAACGTTGAACTACATTCCATGTAAAAAAAAAAAAAAATGTTAATTGTATTTTGCGGTTAGTGTATGTACCTATTGCCAAGGGTATGAGAATCGCTGTTGTTAGTATGAATGCTATTGGGTCCGTGAGTTTTAGTCATGAGTTATAGTATTGTTGCTAAATGGTCATCGGATGACCTAAAAAAAAAAACCGCAATAAACAAGTGTGTGAATACGAGGCAAGAGCTGGATATAGAGTTCGCGTTAGTTGATTTCGGAGGGAGTTCTTGAGAAAGTTATCGAGGTAAAGAGGATGTGTTTTTTTTGGAATAGTGTTTTCTGCTGAGGAGATATACAACCGGGTGGATCTGTGTAATTGATAAGCAGAATGAAGAAAAATCATATTAATTTATGAAGTGATTGGGTTCTAGTGTTCCGAGCCCCTGGCTCTCAGTGCATAGGGTGAGAGTGTTACATTGCACCACAGACAACGTTGACAGACATAATCGAAGAGTCTCGACAAGAGGAAACATCGTATTTTGATACTTATGATGGGTAAGTACGTGTGTGTGTTGTGTCGGTTAGTGCAGTCTATATAAGTTTGGTTGGTTAAAGTATATAATGATGGGTTGGTTATTGTAGATGTGATGGGTTGGTTAGTGTAGATGTGATGGGTTGGTTATTGTAGATGTGATGGGTTGGTTAGTGTAGATGTGATGGGTTGGTTAGTGTAGATGTGATGGGTTGGTTACCTGGTAGTGTAGATGTGATGGGTTGGTTAGTGTAGATGTGATGGGTTGGTTAGTGTAGACGTGCTGGGTTGGTTAGTGTAGACGTGATGGGTTGGTTAGAGTAGATGTGATGGGTTGGTTAGTGTAGACGTGATGGGTTGGTTGGTGTATACATGAAGAGTTGGTAAGTGTAGATATGATGGGTTACTTCGTGTATACATTATGGATTGGTTTGTGTATACATAATGGGTTTGGTTGATGTATACATGATGGGTTGCATAACGTATTCACAGTCTAATGGGTTGGTTAGTGTATGCGTATTGGGTAAATTCGTCCGTGTGCGTTCACGTGTAAAGTTAAACTACGACTTAAGTTTTAAGATATGGGGAACCACCAAAAATAACAAAGAACTTTCAGACCCCTCCACTTTCTCTGCTTGTGTCACAGTATTGCCAAAATGAGAAGCACTCTGCGACAATAAACTTAAGTATTTCTGTAACAACGTTACAAGCTATTGCCCCACTCCCCCCAACTCCATTACGTAAAGAATTCGGAAGAATTCATTCCAGGTCCCAGCAAGAGCGTACCGTGAAGATTTCCGACTTACCTTTGTTTTTTACACCTGAAATCTGTTGTCTTGTTGAGCTGAGGCTGCTGTGAATGGTTAAGATGTCGTTTGGTCAGTTCATCTGCCGTAAAACCCACGCACGGTGACTGTACACAGGTTGCGTAACTGACATATGACAGGTCACAATACACTCAGACATATGACAGGTCTCAATACACTCAGACATATGACAGGTCACAATACACTCAGACATATGACAGGTCACAATACACTCAGTTAAGCACGTTTGCTGCTGATGTAAACATATTAGTGCCATTTGTTTATTAAACAAAATTTAAAATAAACGTGATTTCGAACCCTGGTCCTCCCGAGAAGGGGCGCCTGCAGGTAGGGGCAAGGGGGCACTCCCACCCCCCCCCCTGGATTGATTGGATACAATTTTTTTAGACAAAAATAGACAAAAAATTTATTAAAGTAAAGAGAAAATAAAGAGAAAGTAACTAAGCTGATGTCCTGTCGGTTCGTTCACCATACAAATACGCTACAGTAAATTAAAACTATATTAAAACATTACTAAAAATATTTTGCCCCCCCCCTGGAAAGTTAATCGATTTTTTTGCCCCCCCCCCCCCTAGAAAGTTTTCTGCGGGCGCCCATGCTCCCGAGTTATTCACAGCATTACTGTCTTCACATTCTTCTATAGTAGTCCTATATTAATTAATATCACCACAAAATAACAACATCTTGATGTTCACATGTTGTGAATGTTTTTGTTTCAGAATATCGAAGCATTCGTTTTTTTTGTTGTGAATGACTCAGGGACACTAAAGCTGATTGATCGCAAGAGCCCACTTGTCTCGGTATAGTTTCAGGTGATTGGTTAGAGCTGTTTCGGATTCCACTCCAGCGTGCTGTTAACATTTTTTGTTGCCTGCTATACAAGGGCCACGTGTGCAGGAAGAAGGCCATGAAACAAAAAGCGGGGAGGGAGGGTGGGTGGTTGGCCATGGGCGGCACATTTTGCAGGGGTGACATTTTTGTAAAATTCCCATTCTTGTATAGTATTTCTTTATGTGCATTATGTATGCATTTGTGGTTTCCGAGAATTAGGGGCAGTATAGTCAAGGATGACCTCGGGCGCACAAACTCTAGAAACTCCCCTGAGAAGAAAAGAACTCCCCAGAACAATAAAACAACAAAATAGTGCAAGCTTCAGCTGCAAGCTTTCAACAAAAGGCATCCTCTTTGGACCCCGTTAGGTTCGTCGCTGCTAGTTGCTTTGTTTCAGAATAAGGCTTGATGCAATATTCCACATTTGTGAGCCTACTTTTTTTTTGCTGTCTTTATCTTGATCATAGCAGATTAAACGGACCCCTCACAGATCACGTTGGGAGGTGTCATAGGGTTATATTTGATTAACTTTTCAGAGCCTTTGGATGACTTTCGGAGACCCCCTGCCACTATCCGGGTTGTGACCCCCATTTTTTGCCTTACTTCCAAGTTCTTAGTTTAATTTTTGCCCACATGACAACTTTATGCCCCTAAAAATATCCGCCCCCCCCCCTTTTTTTAACAATTGCAGGGGTAGCAGGGCCCAAGTGAAGGTTCTGCAACATATTATCCATTTTAAAAAAAAATCCGGCAATAACATTAATGGAGAACACTTAAGTTTTTGAACTAGTTTCTATTTCTTGTTGTCCCGTCTGCTTAGGAAGGCTCTTAGCCGAAACTTTCTTCTTTTATTGTCCTGTCTTTCTAATCCAAGCTTCCATGCACTTTGCTCTACTAAGACCATTCTCAATAGCAAACTTGGACTATATACAATAGACTGGACTCAGTGACGAAGTTAGAGTTAGTGCCCCCCTCCACCCCCAATGCTGGAATGACTTTTTGCCACAAAAAACAACAACTCTGCAGCTGACCGGAAATATCGCCCCTCCAAATAACAAAAAAAGTGCCGCCTAGGGTGAACTCCTCCTTCCTACGCCACTGACTGGACTCTGGATCTGTTTGTTACATTTCCCATCCATCACGCATCATTGACCAACTTTTCAGGAAAAAAAATATTTGAGAATAAGTTGTGGCAAGATACAAACAGCCCCAACAATACAACAGTACAACGAACGATCGTAAATAAATACAGAAAACTCTTGAAATTTTGTATAGCACAGCACTGATTTATTTCGTACCCGTTGATGTCATATGTCATTATGACATAAAATACATGACATATATGTGGTTCATTTTTGTCAGATATGTTAATGATCGTTCACTCTTTTTTACTCTTCTTCTTCTTTTGCTCTTTCGTGTTTACCTTCAACACGTTTTAAGTATAAACATTTCTACATCTACCCCCCCAACCAAAAAAAAAAAGATCAAGTAAAAAAAAAAATGACGGGACAAGGTCCACATGAACAAAGCTAGAGAGTAAGAGTTCCACTTTTTTCAGATATGTTAATGATCGTTCACTCTTTTTTACTCTTCTTCTTCTTTTGCTCTTTCGTGTTTACCTTCAACACGTTTTAAGTATAAACATTTCTACAACTACCCCCCCAACCAAAAAAAAAAAAATCAAGTAAAAAAAAAAATGACGGGACAAGGTCCACATGAACAAAGCTAGAGAGTAAGAGTTCCACGAAAACAAAATGTGCAGCAAAACCGGAGTGGGCAGCG